TTTTTTATTTTTTTTTAATATAGTCAAAGATAAAAAAATCAAAAAAAAAAAAAAAAAAACGGGGTTGTAGACCTCAAAAATATCTACAACCCCAGGGCTGCCAGGCCGAACGTACGGAGGCCCCTAAGCTGACCCCCGAACGTTCGGGTGTTCGGGTCCCCGTATGGGGCCCGTGCCTGAAGGGGTTTGGACCCTGCAAAAAAGTATTTTGGCACCTAAATATTATGATTTTTTTCTGAATTTTGTTGTGTAAGTTCCTTGTGATGTAAGGTATCTCCCTCTTAAATTTGAAGCCATTCTGTTTAGCTAAAAAAAGATGAAAAATCGGCAAAGATGGTGGTGTCAAAACTTGCTTGCCCACTCACTAATTTGTTTTTTCTCTCTTTTCACTTTTTGTTTTTCCTTTATTTCGGGGCATGAAAAATTTTGTTATTTTTTCAAACTTTGTTTGTAGATTCTCTATTATGTAAGATACACATATATAAATTTTCATGGCATTTGTCACAGCCAGAAAGAAATGAAAAATCGCCAAACATGGCGTTGTCAAAAACGTGCTCGCCCACTTAATAATGTCATTCTCAGTTTATTTTTTTCTAATTTTCATTTTTATTATTTATGTTTAGTATTTGATTTTTATTTCAAATTTGGTAAAGAATTTGGATGTAACGTTGGGGCAAATGTTGTTTAGTTTGTTCTTCTGCATGACATATGTTTTTTCCAGATGTTTTGGATTTTTTTTTGTTTTTTTTGTTTTTTTGGATCCGCGCTCGGCCGAAAGGCCAAACGTGTCGAGAGGGGGTGACGAACGTTCGGGCATTCGGGTTCGGGCGTTTGGCTCGTCACGAACGCCGGCAACCCTGTACGACCCCATATTTTTATTATTATGTTTTGATTATTTTTAGCCCACAAAAAAATAAACGCGGACCCTATTGTAACCCGTCTAACGGGCTTTTCAATGGGGATTCCACGCGGATTCAATGCGCGTTGAATCTTTCAACACGGAACCCACGTTGAATCGATTTTCGGACACACAGGTGGCAACTGTCTGGCGTCCACCAAGATTTGTAAAAATTGACGAGTTCAGGGCACATTGAGATCCAGGGGGGCCGCCCTTAGTGGACGTGCCTGCTGCAGGGCCTTATTCCGAGGGGTAACCCCTCACACTCCCTCCTCCTTTACTCCGATAGTCCTTTGACAAGTTGTTACACAGCAGGCTGCCTCCCTTTCAAATTTCATTCAGAACTTGAGATAACTTGAGATAATTTGGGGAGCAGTCTTCATTAACTCCTCTTGTGAACCACCGATCTTCTTTAGGATCAGTATGGTGTCTGAAATGCACCCGATACTGCATCTGCGGTTTTAGAGGGTGTCCCCTGCCTGGAGACTTGGGCACAGGCATCAACTTGTGCTCCACGATGTCGTCAATGTCCACATGTCCGTCCATGGTTGGGGGAAGCATCGATCTTCTCGAGGGAAACTGTTCAGTTTCAGCGAAGGGTGCCAACTTAGATGCATGGAAAACAGGGTGTGTACGGAGGTGACCAGGAATGCGAATAACATATGATGGACCATTGGGTTGATCCCCTACTATGTCCAGAATTTCCCAAGGCCCAAAGTATTGTGGCATCGGTTTGCGTGAGATTCCCAACTCCTGTCCCAACTCAGATGACTTTACCCAGACTTGATCACCTACCTGAAATGCAGACAGTCGTCTGTGTCTGTTCTCAGATGCAACCATGGCATCTTGAGCTTTCTTGATGTGCTCTACAGCCTGCTGCAGCATCTGTTCGTACTTGACAGCAAACTCTATGCTACCAGGTGCTGCGGTTGGCTGGTTCTCAGGCAACAGGAAATCAAGAGCAGATCTGGGCTTCCGACCAAGATGCAGCTGGTTGGGGGTCTTACTGGTAGTGTTGTGCACAACATTGTTGTAGAGGCTGGCGGTGAGAGGTAACTTCTCATCCCACTCATCTTGACTTGGCTTAATATAATGCCGAAGCAAGTGCTGCACTACCCGGTTCATCTGCTTGGCCTGCCCATTTGGCTTAGGGTGGTTATCTGATGTCGTTTGCAGTCGGATGCCCATCTCTTGAGCTGTGCTTTGCCACAACACAGTTCGCTAGTGAATCTGACATCCCTGCCGCTCACAACAACTTTAGGGAGACCAAAGTCTCGTACCGAGTTGTCCATGAATAGCTTGATGACGTGGTCAGTCCTAGCTATATCAGGCGCAATGATTAGTCTAGTATACTTTAGTGAACCTCTCCACCATGACGAAGATGTGACGTTTACCGTTTTTGCTGGTCACAAGAGTGTCCATGAAATCCATGGAGACACTCTGACCAGGAGCAACAGGTATAGGCAAGGGCTTAATAAGCCCAAGGGGTGTCTGGGTCCGAGGCTTGTCCCGTTGACAAATTTGGCAAGTCTGTACATATTTCTTCACATCATCCATCATTGTGGGCCACCAAAATCGCTGCACTAAATTTGCAACTGTCTTTGTATAACCGAAATGTCTAATTGCGTTGTGGCACTCACCTAAGAATAAACTACGCAAAGACTCTCTATTCGGAACACATAATCATTTATTCCCAGCCTTCTCAAGGAACAACAAGCCTTCAACGAGCACAAACTCATCCGAAGTAGCTTTGTCTTTAGCTTCCAGTTTGCGGATGATGTCAGACATAATCGTGTCCACCAGAGATCGAGTTACATCACCAGAAATCCCAAACTTAGTGAAGGAGGGGAAAAAGTGAGGCCAATCGAGTACATGAGCAAAAATTTGCCATCTCAAAAATCAACGTATAAGTGTGAGCTCTATGCTCTTTACAGAGCGCTGGTCCAGTAGAGGCACTACCTCCTAGGCAGATTCTTTTATGTGAGATTTGACCATGACACGCTACGTTGGATTAAGACACAGTCCGTGCTCTCCGACGCACTTAAGAGGTGGATTGAAGTCATAGATATGTATGACTTCAAGGTCGACCCTCTAAAGGGAGAGTACAACATTGTGGCCGATGTACTCTCCCTTTAGAGGGTCGACCTTGAAGTCATACATATCTATGACTTCAATCCACCTCTTAAGTGCGTCGGAGAGCACGGACTGTGTCTTAATCCAACGTAGCGTGTCATGGTCAAATCTCACATAAAAGAATATGCCTAGGAGGTAGTGCCTCTAATGGACCAGCGCTCTGTAGAGAGCATAGAGCTCACACTTATACGTTGATTTTTTAGATGGCATTTTTTTGCTCATGTACTCGATTGGCCTTACTTTTTCCCCTCCTTCAGCGCACGGACCCCGACTATAGCGTATTGGTTGGCGTCTGTGGTCACAACAAATCCGGAAGTTTGAGGACTTCGTAGTGCGTAAGTGCATACTTCAATCTCTTGAAGGCTGCCTCACACTCTTCGGTCCACTCCCATGGGGTGTCAAGGTGCGTGAGGTCAGTTACAGGGGAGGCTACAGTACTATAGGTCTTAACAAACGGGCGGTAGTAGCTTGTCATCCCCAAGAATGACCTCACGTCAGTCACAGACTGAGGTTTGGGTCAGTCACGTATGCTGGCCACTTTGGCATCATCCGGCCTCAATCCATCCGCGAAAATCTCACGACCTAGATACAAGATCTTGGTGCGACCAAATTCGCATTTCTCCAAGTTTACCTTGTATTGGTGCTGTTTTAGGATACCTAACACTGTTTTCACGTGCTCAGCGTGCTCCTCTACAGTCGTGCTAAAGCATATTGTCGAGGTACACGACGATTAACTTGTCTATGTAGTCATGAAAGATCCGGTTCATTGTGTGCTGGAGCGTCCCAGGAGCATTGCATACGCCAAAGGGCATCACCACAAACTCGTACACACCGTACCTCGTCTGAAAGGCGGTTCTGTGCTGGTCCTCAGGTCTAATAGCAATCTGATGGTATCCGGACTTCAAATCGATCTTAGTGAAGTACCAACATCCCTGCACTCTATCCAAGAGGTCGTCAATGCGTGGCAGGGGCTCCACGTTCTGAACGGTGATGGCATTGAGGCCCTTATAGTCAATGCACATCCTTAGTGCCCCCCCTTTCTTTGGGACAAATAAAACTTGTGCTCCATAGGGGGACGTATTTGGTCGAATCCAACCCTTCTCTATGAGCTCCTTGAGCTAGCGGCAGAGCTCATCGAACTCCGCAGGAGGCATCCTATAGATCCACCCTCTAGGAACTTTGCTACCGGGAACGACTTCTATTGCGTGGACAGTTTCCCTTTCTACCACAACCCTAGGCTTCTCAAAGAGGTCTGAATATCGTGCAACAACTACTTCTATCTTTGGGGGTGATTTTACGGCCTCCCCTTTCTCAGAGACAAAGACTAGGTACATTCCTTCCTCGCGATTCTGCTTGTAGAAGTTATAGAAAGACAACACACACATGCAACCATAGTTATCCACTAGTCTGCTAGCCTTGAACTTCTGGAACCTAACGGTCCTTCCATCTGGCAACTTGTGGATCATCACCTTCCTATCCCAATTGAACTGAGGCTTAGCAACCTCGAGGTAGTACATGCCTAGCAACATGTCAAATGGCAGCTCGTCGCTCACCATGAACGAGATCTTGTGTCTCAGTTCCCCTCCTCCATAGGAGAAGGTACAGACTACGTCCTTGGCATAGTCCTTGGCTAAGGTAGATGCTACAGATCTGCTAAGCCGCTGCCCTTGGTCCCCCAAGCGCAGTCTATCCGCATAAGCACGGCTGATGAAGTTCCGCACAGAACCTAAGTCTACGAAGGTGCCAACCTTTCGGCCACCTACATTGACTTCTACCACAGAATGTTCACTCTTTGGACCTTTGTTCAACATCGCCCAGGAGTCTCTAGGGTCCTTCTCCAACCATTCAGTTTCTGTCTAAGAACTCAGACACATCCATCAAACAGAGAATCGATTGGTACAGATCTGTCTACGGGCGATCAAGGGGTCAATAGTCGTGGCCATCATCTGGAATGGGGAAGGTAAAGTAACCACTTTAGCACGAGTAAGAGCGGATAACACTCCTACTGGCCCGAGGTGTTTCCCTACGAAGTGCTCGCAGAGGCACCTCCAGAGTTGGAAGATCCAGTCGTCACTATTGAGGACGCGACCTTCATTGCGGTCGGCTTAGCCTTGCACTTGCTCATTGTGCGTCCATACTGACCACAATTGAGACAAGCACCTCGTGCAACATGGTCTCGCCACACTTCGTATTCGAGACCAAGCCATATGGGTGGTCCTTAGTCATTTTGACCCTTGGGCCGGCCTACCTTCTGTTTCCCAGCCCCCTTACCCTTTTTCTAATGGGCGCGGCTTCCACCATCTGCAGTTTCCCCACTCCCATCTATCTCTATTTCTTCCCCAAGGCCAGAGAAGTCATCAATCTCAGTCGCTTGACCATCGTGGTCAACGAACATGAGATTGCCTTTCGTCCTCCAATCCTGAGGAAGCTTATTCTTCCTCCCATCTACAGGTCCTTGTTGGGCACTCCCAAGCTTAGCCTCTATGTCTAGGGCCTTCTTGCTGAATGAGGCGAAGTTATACACATCTATGGAGACATTATCGACCAACGTATTTTTGACATCTGTGGGCAGACATCTCAAATAAGTTGTGAGGACCTGCAGTTTGTACCGCACGCCAGGAACAACAATCAGTCGTTCTACAGTGTCTGACACCTCGCAAACTGTCCGGTATCTCTTCGATCCTAGACTGGCTAACGAGTCGGTGGCCTTCTGAGCCCCTTGAGGGTCATGCCACCTATTGTAGACCATCTGTACGAACTCCTCCAATGTCCGGGTTTGTGCCCCGTTATCGAAGTTCTGACTGTATCCTTGCTGCTGCACTACTCCATTCAACCATCGGGTTGCAGATCATTCTAGGAAGGATGCAGCGACGATAACCTCTTCCTCGGTCCTTGTGAGCTTGTGCCTCACATATGTGGGCACAGTCCTTACCAAGGTATCCAAGTCCTCTTCCTTCTTCTTGTCGCCATAGAACGGTTTAGGACTCAACAAGGGTATCTTGGGTGTCCACTACATGGGCTGTATAGCGCCCTGTGCCTGCCTTGTGAGCATGTGCCTCACATATGTGGGCACAGTCCTCACCCAGGTATCCAAGTCCCCTTCCTTCTTCTTGTCGCCACAGAACGGTTTAGGACTCAACAAGGGTATCTTGGGTGACCACTACATGGGTTGTATAGCGCCCTGTGCCTGCTGCATAGGTTGTGAAACGAGTGGACCAAACCAATGCGGCAGTAACTGTTGCACAGGGTGTTGTACATGCGGCTGCCCTGTAGCAGCAGCCGCTGAGAGTGGAAATGAAGAAGGAACTGGAATCTGCCCGCTGCTACCTACTGCTGAACCACGTGATGGAGGTATGCGAGACATAGGGGAAAAGGATGGTCCCATCGGAGGCACAACCATATTTGACCTGCAACTGTAGGGGGAACTACAGCAACTTGCGGTTGCCTCACCATGGGTCGAGTTGCCTGTCCCGCAGCCATAATTCTATTCTGGCCGGCTACCAGTTTGGCCAACAGCTCCTGCTGAACAGCCTGTGCTTTGGCAACACTCAACAGAGAGTTCCAAAGAGATCTAGCAACAAAGTCTAATGTTGACTCATCAATAGCCTCTAGTCTGCCTGGCTCCTAGTCTAGCTTTTCCAATTCTAGCTCTTTCTCTTCTCTCCTCTACTTCCTGCGACTGGCGTTGTAGCTCTGCGTGGAGTGTGTTTGCTTCTGCAATCTCGTAGTCCTCATCTGACGTAGGTTGCTGTTGGCTGACCTGCAAGCCAACACTCTGACTCATGGTTGACCCTGACATACCTTGACTTACACCTGACGAAGAGGCTTGGGACGAGGCCTGTGACGTAACGGAGGCGGTAGCCATGGCTGCCTTTTATGTGGCTCTGGCTTTGCTGCTGTAGCTGCTGCTAGTGCCCTCTCAGTGTTGGCTGCTGCTGCCCTAGCCCTCTGCAATGTGGCCCTCTCCCTAGCTTCTCCCCGCAGTCTCCTATCCTCTCCTGACTGTAACGCCAAGAAAGTGATCGGCTGACTGAGTGCACGTCTACGGGTAAGTCTCCTATCTCCCTGGTCTAGTTCTTCAACCTCTCTGTCATCTCCACTCATGAGCTATGCGTGATTTGCG